CCCCCACCCCCACAGTCTTAGGTACTTGAAGGAATGTATTCTGTCACTTAAGCCCAAGAGGTGAAGTAAAATCTTGCCTGCAAAGAAGAACTCTGATTGCCTGCTCGGAAATGTACATGTGTCAGTAATTCCTGATTTCAGTTATTTCCACTCCAACTGTACATGTAGCTCTACAAGACTGGAGGGAGGATGGGGAGACAAATTCAAAGCTAGGTAGAGGTGCTACTTATCTGGGTTGGATGAGCTTTGCTTTCAGCCTGATGTGAATCACAGAATCATTTAGATTGGAAAAGAACTCTTAGATCGTTGAGTCCAACCATTAACCCAACACTGCACGGTCTACCACTAAATTACATCCACATCTGTGTGTTTTTCAAATACCTCCAGGGGTGACAACTCAACTACTTCACTGGGAAGCTTGTTCCAGTGCTTGAGAACCCTTTCAATATCCAATCTAAACCTTTCCTAGCACAACTTAAAGCTGACTCTTGTCCTGTGGCTTGTTGCCTGGGAGAAGAGGTCAACCCACACCTTGCTACAGCCTCCCTTCAGATAGTTGTAGAGAGTGATAAGGTCCCAGGTAGTTGTAGAGAGTGATAAGGTCCCAGGTAGTTGTAGAGAGTGATAAGGTCCCAGGTAGTTGTAGAGAGTGATAAGGTCCCTTTTGAGCCTCCTTTTCTCCAGGCTGAACGACCCCAGCTCTCTCAACCACTCTTCATAAGACTTGTGTTCCAGACCCCTCACCAGCTTTGTTGCTTTGTGGAGCTTTGACTACTCTTCCAGGGACAGCTACTGCTTCAGTGGTTGCGGTGATGATGGACAGCAGTGGCGTCCTTACTAAACTAGTCATTGGAAAGATCTTACCTGATCACATGTCTTTCCTTTCTACCTCAGCCTGACTGATAGATGCTACTAGACCCTCCCCTCAACTGTACTAGGCTGAAAAAAACCCAGTGTCCCTATAAGGATGCCTTTGGGGGAAAGTCATCAGCATCTATCCTGCTTCAGCTAATTCTGGATCAAATGAAGTTAATACCATCTTGCAAATCCAGTCAGGGATGTGTCCTGTCCACAGTAAAAGCCTTTTAAGCGCAATTTGCTGTTTTCTCTATGACAGAAGAAGTATCTATAGGACAAAAATAGTTTCTAAATTCTTCTGTGGGCTGCCATGGGTAGGCACTATTCTGGCACTGGAAGAAAACTTGATAGTTGGGCTTATTCTCTAGAGTTTTGATGTTTAAAACAAAATGTGAAATGTGATTCCAAAGAAAACTTTTCAAATGTGAGTGTTCTCTGTTGGGTAAAATGATATTTGCATGAGTCCTCAGGTGGATTGAAGAAGTGCTTTTGTAATTCAGCATCCCCTTCTATAGTTTCTTCTGTCTTTCATTACAGGCACAAAAGTCTTGTAGAATGCAAATGCATTGTTAATGAACAAATGTCAAGCATAGTACAGAAAACATAGAAGCTTGATTGAAAGCTACACGATATTTGAATAAGATTGTAGAAAGCCCAGAATCCTTAAAATGAAAGAACTGCATGTGTTTCTTGTAACAGTACTGTCTAGCGAAAGCTGGCTGCCAAATGGCTTTTTTGAGGCTTAATTGTAATCAACTGCGAGTGTAGCAAGTGTTGAAAAGTGCAGGAGTTATATATTGTTTTCATATGAAAGGAATAGATCAGTGTTTAATTTGCCTTTTTTTTCTTTTTTTTTTTGAGGGAAGCATGTGTGTTCTGGAGGAAGGAAAGTGTTTGCTATACGTGTGCGATTTTTTCAGATGTTTTGCTCAAGACTATATAAAGACACTACTGGTTGTAAAAATGAAGGGAATTAAAACCCTCTCAGTGTTCTTTGCTCTTAAAGACTGTCTTGGAAATATTTATGATGTTTTGGCTGGCAGTGAAAGTTTTAAAAGAATACAGTGTATTTCAGGGAAGATACCTTGAATATAGACACTTTATGTACTAATCTTCCACAATTGTGACACAGCAATATTGAAGATTGCTTTTTCTGTTTAGATAATTAAAGGGTTGAGTTCAGGAGATATGCATGATGCAAATTCCTTAGAGCTTATAAGTTCTCAAATGTCACTGTAAAAATAAAAACATTTTTGAAGCACATATAAAACAAAGGGAAAATAAATTCCATCAGATGGTATTCCTAAAGTTTTATTTATTGTTTTAGTCAGTACTTTCAGCTGTCAAATGAGCAGATGCTTCTTTTGGTTCTGTATAAAGTAGATAAAGTATGATGCTTATGATAGATAAGTGAGAAGGAGCAAAAACTGTTGAAGAGCCAGCTTGCAGAGAAAGAAAATTAACCTGTGAACTGAGAAAAAAAAATAAAACTGAGTTGAATGATTAACTGAATGAAATGTCATGCTGTGTGTGATCAAATAAGAAAAAATTAAACCACTTCAGTTAAATGTATAATAATTTTGGCTGTTTGTTAAATGATTCAAAGGTAGGTTCAAAAGTAGCATTAAGAATTTGAATATTGAACATATTGCCTGGTGCTTGTGAAAGCCAGTAGCTTTGAAGTAAAAAGATTTCCTATGAGAAGAGATAACTAAAGCCCCTTACATGTAGGTGTTTATTATTACAAATAATAAAAAGTTAATCAACTCTTAAAAGGAGGGAAATAAAAGATTATATATTAGTAGATTTCTACAAAAGTGAAAATATTTTCTATTGGCTTAATTTTTTTTTTTCTGCTTCAGTTCTTTTATAATTGGAAATGGCTTTCTGGAAGTATAAACAAATCTTCTAGATGACTTTTGCTTTAGAGTTATAAAGCCTGTGACCCCAGGTTCTTATCTATCAGACTATGCTTTTATACTTGGTCCTACTGATAATTTTTAGAAAAAGGGAAAAAACTGCCACCCCAAAACACAAAACTTAGTGTGTGAAAATGTAATGTACTGTAATCCACATGGAAAAATTATTATTGACATTCTAATACAGTTACTTCCAAACTCTTTAGGAAATCACTCTCTACAGCCATTGCTGAAAATGTCTATTTCAACTGTGCTAATTAGTCCAGATTATTTGTATTTAGAATGACATCTATTGAAAAACATAACAAAAAACCCAACAGGCTTGCAGTTCAGCAGCAGTGTTGTTATATGCCTGTCAGCGTAGGACTTGTGAGGGAAGGAATGTTTAAAGACATGTAACTTAACTCAGGTTCATGTTTATCCTTTTGAGAATGATATTTTCAGTTGAAGTGCTGGTTTTCTTGAGTTTGTCTGCTTTAACCTGGTTCTCTGTACTTATGTACAATGCTCATTTTTCTAGACCAACAAGTTTGAGGATGATACAGGTCCATGTGAGAAGCAAGCATGTGGGGCATACTTCAGAAAAGGCAGCTTGGAGCACTTCAACTATATGGAACAAAATGTTATTTCAGCTGTGGGACTATGATATTGCTTGATTTTCTGTTGTCTGTCGGTATGAAGAAGTATTCCTGAAATCTTCATTTTAAAGATGTTAAGTTTTCACTGATCTGGTGTGTGTAGCTGACCAGTGTGGCTTCACTGGTCAGGTTATCGTCTGGTAGAAAAGAAATATGAGCTCCATCATCTTATTTAGCTCTTTTGTTCTTGGCCATAGATCGTGTCCTTAATTTCCTCTGTTAATTAATTCTATGTGTTTCTGATGTTTGTCCTTTCTCTCATGCTTTTATTATACAGTGCAAGATGAAAATGGAGCACATTTTTAGATTGGATGGTTTGCTGGTTTGCTGTCAGCTGTTTTAGGCTGACTTCCTCCCTCTCTTGTTTTGAGGACTGCTTTATATATGCTTCTTAAATTGAAGTTCTTCAACTGAAAAGCACGCTGCTAACATGTACCTTGCGTACTTAGATTTAAGATTAGGTTTAATACTAGGCTGTCATCATCATTACAAGATGTGGGCTGTTCTTTCTTGAAGTTAGGCCTAATTGTTTCTAAAGACTTGAGACATGTAATTTAAAAAAAATGAAGGTATTACAAATTAATTAAGTAATCTGCATCTCTTAGTGGCACTAGGGTGGTTTTCAGATAAGAATGCTCACGTAGTTCATAATGATGTACTTGAATTCAATTAATGAGTTTCTCTGGAAGAAGCAGGAGTGTTAAAAACTGAAGTAAAGTAGAGAGATTCTCAGTATTGACTATTAAAATGGACCAAGACTTCTACTGCAGCTATTTCTAGTAACCTTAATCTATTTTATTTTCCTGTCCAAACATTATTTGAACTTATGCAAGAAGAGTCTAAGCATATAAAAAGGGTTTTGTATTACTCAAGGAGCAAGATCTGAATCTACAGTAGAATGAACTGACCTGGATGATGAAGTTCTCGTCCAGTTCTTCTATGTCATGAAGAGAGGGGAAAAGAAATTTTTTGTCCCTTTAATTGGGAATTTAGTCTTGTGCCAGGAAGAGACATGAAAGGGACAGTGCATAGTAGTAGCAGATAATGATGACTAACAAATCTAATACAGGTTTATCATCTGTGAATGTTTCCAATGGTCTCTTATATTGTGGGAAGGTAAGCTGATGTCAAAAGGCAAATTTCTGTCTTGAAGAAAGGTTTTAGAGGAGATGGCTAGGATTGGGAAAGGAAGTCTTATTTACAGAGGGAAAGAGGCTACAGTTCTCTTCGGCAAGAGAAAAGTAATACATTCAACAGAATACAGTACAATATGTTTACTGTAGCTTGACTTAATTTTAAACACTTTGTTATATTTAATTGGATTTCTGCTGTTATCAAATGGATAGATATATGCTTTTAGAAAAGTGAAGTAAATGAAATGGGACGTTCTTATAATGTATATATTTGCAGATGGAAATTAGAATAATTTCACGGAATTGTTTTATAAATGATTGAACTGGGGCTTCCATAGTTTTGAGCATTTTTGCCTCTTAGTTCTTTGTAGTGCAAATTTGGTACTGCTTGCTGTGAGTAATTTAAATCAAGTGTTTTGAACTGTGTCCTTTTTTTTTCCTTTTTATTCCAGCCCTGATGATATTGGTAGCTGTTGGTATATCCTGCTGTCTGGTTCAGTCTTCATTAAAGAATCTATGTTTCTTCCAAGGAGCAGGTATGTCAACTATGAATATACTGCATTCTATATTTTAAACATAAATCATGAGATGTGGAAAATTTTTAGAATTAAAAGGCAGTATCTTATTCTTAATAACACACAGAAGAACACACATAAGCACATTTTTCCTGCCTTTACTGACTGTGGTAACTGTTTTTGCCCATATGCAAAATGTTGTACAGATGCTGTCAATTTAAAAAGTAAAACAACTGTTTTTAAAAAGTAAAAAAATAATAAAATGGAGAGAAGTACTGAGGAGTCTGTTCCTGTTAGTAGTCAAAGTAATCATAGGATGCACTAGAACTTGTAATGTTTTCCTGAGGCTTTACTTACTGTGCACAAGTCTTTGGTGCCTGTTTTAGTATATGCTTAGATCACGTTACTGCAGCTTTGTTGCTTCTTTTTAAGACTGTGCTTCATGCAAATGGATTTGCCATGAAGAGTGGTATTTTACATGGAAAAAAAAGTTTGAGTGTCAGACACTCAAATGTATATTGCTTCAGTAAAAAAAATTAATTATTTTTAGCTATGGGAAAGATGCAAGTGATTGCAAGGCTTTTACACGAACGAAGCTGAACTTGATCATTTTAGCAGAAGCAGAGCAGAATCACTTTAAGATCCTGGTTATGTACATATTCATTTAGACTACTCTAAAAGGCTTCTTTGAAGCAAGTGGCATGTAGTAAAATTTGTGAAAGGCAGAATGAAAGAATGACCTGTCTCTGTATGGTACCATGATAATGAAAGTACTGGAAACTTTTTAACCATTTTAAACAGTGGAAAACCACTTTAGAGCTAGTATTGGTTGGCACATGAAAAATTAGATCTTGGTATCTGCCTTTCAGTGGATGAGCAGTGCTAGTCTTGGGACTTCCATTTGGTAATGGTAGTTCTTGGTGCAGTCAAGTGTCTTGCGTTTGTAAAAGCAGAGCAGCACTGCTGATAAAATGGTATATTTGATGATGTTAAATATACATCATCTAAAAATAGATGATGTTAAAATTGCAAAACTGGTTATTATAAAAAGTATCACAACAACAGATTAGAGGATCCCTGCTGCTAGCAGAGTGAAAGTGTCATCCATAAACAGACACTGCCAGAAACAAAGCTGGCAGAAAGTGCTACCTTTAGGTATCAGGAGAAAGGATATATAATACCTGAATTAAGGTAGGGTGATTGTATATGGTCTGTGGCAAGAATCTTCCTTTGAAATACAGCAATGTTTGTGCCTTCGCACACTTCTGGACACTTGAAGAGAGGTGAGATGAACAATGAGCTTAAGATTCTTCCTGGAAGAATGAACGGAAAATTTCAGATCCTCTGACACTAAGCAGAGCATTTAAGGGCTGTTCACAGAGAGAAATTCAGAAATTACATCTGGTGGAACAGTGTCTGAGATCTTTGTGAAGTACAAACATGGAATTTGACATTAGGATAAGTTTCTTAGTTGTGGACGAAGTCAAGTAGATGTCAAAGTTAGTGTCTTGGGAGGTGAATGCAAGAGAGACAATTTGTTAATTAAGCAAGCTAACATAAATCTCTGAAAGCAAAATTAAGTAACTTTAATTACAAAGATAGAAAGTATTTCTGGAGAGTAAAATCAGAGTTATTCTAGTGAGGGGCTTTGTGCTCAGAAGCTTTAGTCATCAAAGGGTAGGTGAGGGGCTTTAAATTTAGGACAAGGTCAATCAGGATTTTTTCTTTGTAAATGAATAAATTGGAATATCAGGGCCTTAGGCTAATCCATTAATAAGAAATGTGGGAGAAGTGAGAGGGCACTTAGATTAAATTTCTGATTTGGAATACTGGTTGGTAATAAGTGATTTATTGATTTATTTGTTAATAAAACAAAGCTTGAGAAGGAAACTAAGTTTTTCAGTTTTACTTATGCTACCAGTGAATTGCTCAGACAGAAATAGTAAACTGCTCAGATATACATACTTGGCAGAAGAGACAGATTAGCAGGAATGCTAAAGTAAAATTTTCTGTGCTCTAGAAAAAAGGGAGAGACCTACTGAAAAGGTTGCTGTCCAGAAGGAATTGATAGAATGGTATTTTGAAATCTGAAGAGTAGTGTTAAAAGTGGGCAAAAGACAATTACTGGATAACTTCTTAAACTGACTGTTTACATATACAAGGAGTAACAATTTCAAGAGCCTTTTTGAGCATTGCATAATTTGTGAGTCTTGCTGTCGTCTTGTTACAACGAACTGGCAATGCTTTAGCAAATGGAGCACATCCTCATTCATCACTGACATCAAGTTATAGGAAGAGACTTAAACATTGCAAAGTAGAGATCATCTAATTTTGATCTTGTTTGGCTAAAACATTGTCATTTGAGTAAACTAAATTTGCAATAGTAAATTCATATGTGCACTATTTTAGTGTGTTTTTTTGCAGATTAATCCATTTTATCTTTGCCCATCTAAAAAACCACTAGGAAATTATTTTGCAACATATGAAGCTTGTGAGATATTAGGATGGAGCTGAGCTGTCTGTGTAGGAGCAAGGAAATATGTAGAAAGCAAAAAATGTATTCCTATCTCCAGATCTGATTGACACAGAAAATTCTTATTTCCCGAACTTTTCTTTTCCCTGAGCTAAGAGTTCATGCCTAAGCATCACCATCTGAAACTCATAATTTTTTTCCCCGTTTTAAAAATATTCTCCTTTTTTTGACAGCCTGCCCCACGCACCTGTAGTAAATCCCTTTGGACAAGTTCTCTGGGCTGCATCCTGCCAATCCTGCTCAGTTTGTGAGCTTCTCCTTGCCTGTCCTCCTGACTCAAACTTGACTTCATTAAATGGTGGCTGGGCAGTAGCTGACCAGATTTAAAACAAGATACATGTTGTCGTCCCCCCGTCCCAGCCCCCGAAGCTGTCTAAAAGCATAAGAAATGACAGCCCCCCTGCTTTCCCAGTGTCATGGTTTAGGAATACCCACTCCCTAATTTGATGCCTCTCCCCCCTGAGACTCTCCCAAACCAGACACTGCTAATTCCCCTCCCCTTCTGGTGGGAGACACAAAGGGTAGAGATTCTGAGATGAGATAAGAACAATTTACTGGAAACAGCAATGAGATACCCCCCCCCCCAGCAGTAACAGCAACAATACTAATAATAGTGTGTAAAAGAGAGAGGGTGATTTACATGCAAAATGCTCACCAAGCATTGAACAATGGCAGGGGGACCCCATGCCCACCATGTTTTTTAGGACTGTAGGAGAGAGTCCCTTCCCCCACCCATGAAGTAAGATGGTATTGAATACCACAATGTCTTGACCATACCCACACAGCTCCAGGCTCTGCCCCCTCACAACTAATGTGAAAAGTTCACCCTGTCCTTGGCCAAAACTAGGACACCCACTCAAACCAGAAATAAAAAATAGTATAGCAATCCAAAATTAAGCAGTTTTGTAATGTATGATGTATGGTCAAATGGCTGCTAGTTGAAATAGTTTGAAATCAGTGTCAGAGCTGCCAATTTTTGCCAAAATTTTGTAATGTACTAGGTGACTTGTAAAATTACTTGCAACTGGCTACTTGACAAGTCTTTAATTTCAAATAATAAAAAAAAAGAGGTTCAAAATGGAATATTGGAATACCCAAAGTCCTAATTTGAGTAACTTGCTTTGGAAACTTTAGCATCTGAACCATGTCTGTTTTTTGAAAATAACATGAGTTGAATTTTATTTCTCTGTTGCCATATAGCTTAACTTGTATTTGTTCAAATGCCAAGCCATCTGTTAGCAAATAGTGTTCATAAGATAAGGCTGGATTTTATTATCTTAACTTATTATTTTGGGAAAATATACAATCTACAGTTTTCAAGAATTTTGACCTGAACAATTAAAGCTGTCATATTTTTGGTGACATAAAGTAAAGCTTAATCTTGCTCTCCTGTTTAATTTCTGTAAATTGCAACAATGAAATTTATTTGGACAGGGAAGATTATCCTTCTCCCCTCCCCCAATTTTACTATTAACATTTTTCAGACTTATTCCTTTACTTTAACATATCAGACACATTATGGTTAAACTAAACATTCTATAATGCTTCCCTCCCACCATGACCACCAAACTAGCACACATTAACACTCAGTCCCCTCAGCATTTCCCCATAGCATCTGTACCCTGAAGCAGTTCACGTGGTAGAATGAGGTTTGTGTATAAAGTCCAGAAAATAAATGAACAGAAAATACCATTCACTGAGGGTTGTCCTGACTCTTATGTGTTTTCACATGGCCACTGACAGCAACAATGTGACAGTCCCTCAAAATATCTTTTTGAATGGCCTCCCGCATCCCTTGGCCTGCTCCATGCTCTCTCCACATTTGGTCATCTGCTTGGATTTTCTGTGTGGTTTTTGTACCAGAACTTTGCTTCTAATGTAAATTCTACTGGTTTTTTTTATATTACTTAAATGGGACCTGCAGTACAAAAAGGTCTCCTAGATCTCCCACAGCTAACCTCATGCTTGCCCTTGGCCTCCATGACCAGAGGATGCAACTAACTCTTTGCAGCAGCAAAATACAGAATTGCTGGGCATTTTTCCTCAAACCAATAGGCTCTGGTACTTGGTTTTTTCTGCTTTTCTCTTAAAATGGTTCTGAGACCATCTGGGTAGTGTGTGCTGTGCTGCTGAGGCATACTGCAATGCTGACTTGACCTGTGCAAACCTGACTTTACACTTGTCTTTAACGACTCGCTCATCTACACTGTTCCCTTGCTGTAGCCTCTTCTTTTTCTTCTTTACCGCCATATCCAGTCAGTTCTTCCCTCACCGCTTCATATGGCAATTGAGAACTGCTTTCCTTTCGGCAAGTTCAAAAATTTTATGTACAAGAGCAATTATTTAAGCTTTTTTTCTCTAATTAAAAGATTAAGTTTTGAAGGTGAGAGAACATCTGGTTTTTACTGTTCTCAAAATTAAAAGGGAGGTATCTGTATAATTATTGATTATTTAGCCCTCTGGTCTTTCCTATACTAAAACAACTTAT